CAAACGAAGGCATCGTCTGAACCTTTATTTACGTGTTTACAGACGTATTTTATTGTTTTCACCGAATTACAATATTCCACATTTGAGAGAGAGCGTTAAATGTTTTTAATAATACTGAATGTGTCTTTGATATCAACTGAGAACCCACCGTCATCTAGTAAACGTCTTTTATACTGCGAATAACCGTCTTCACGAGTTTTAGTTTCCCTTATGAGAGCCCTGGGGTATCGTTTACTGCACATGTTATCTTTCATACATGGTGACTTCCGATTTACATAGACCATGTATCATACTATTACATTTAACTATTTCGTGAAGCTCTGGGTCACGTTTGGGATCCGATATTTCAGTTCAAATTATATTGTCGATTTCATCCGGAGTAATATGTTTGTGAAGCCATAAAATATGAATATGTGGAAGACCTCTCTTTTACCATTTCGTTGAGTACACATACCTTCGAAATTAAATCGTGTCTATTATGAGATTGTTGTCCTTGAAGCAATTGCTCTTTTCTCTCGTTCCAGCGAGTATTGCATGGGAAAGTGATAAAAAGATCAGGTCGGCCGTAATTCCTAACATGGGTCATAGCGTCCTGTGTTCTTTCGTACATATACCTAGGTCCCTCCGTAAAAGTTGATGGAAGGACAACAATTTGTCTTAGTTGGTTGACTTTTCCATCTTGTCGCCCAATAGCATCTTTTAAATGGATGTAACTATCAGCACGTAATCTGGCTTGATTATTTTTCATATAATTTAATCTCTCTTTTTCTAGTTTGGCGTATTCATTTACCAAAAATTGACTAAAAAGGGCACGATTGCTGACTAAATAGTTATCTTCTCCTTCTTTAATCATTATTCTATACGGATAGAAACTTGCAGAAGAGACAGTTTTATTAAGCGGCAATTTAGTTGTGGAATCACGATTGAATACCCGTCATCCCCCCAGCAAAACATTAATGGATACTGTAGCGCATCATATGCTTGATGCATCTCACTAATACGCTGAAGTGAAATACTTCAGCTCACGAGGATGATATCCCTTCGATCAAATTGTTGATCCACTTACACTAAAGCCACTTCGTTTGTAGTCGGTGCATTGTACCTACCTCTATGTTCTTCTGGTGGTTATTTATCAGCATGTATGTCAACTTTGTACGACTGAAGGAGGAGGCTTTATCAGTGGCACTTTTCAGAACTTACAAAATAATACTTTCCAAATGTCTATTATTGAATCCTCTGTAGCTGATCACAAACAAATATATCTTGAGTTAAACAGACCGAACGCATAAAAAGAGTTCAATATGAAGCAATTAACTATAACAACCTGCAGAACGATATTGAAGAAATTTCTCAAAATAAGTCATTTCAAGTATATGAGGAGCTAGAATAGCAACTACTACAAACTATTGCAAAAAAAAAAAAGAATAAGAAAAACAAAAGTGGTCAATCCGCCTTGCAAAGAGTGGATAACCAGGGGCCTAATTGCTTTAATAAATAAAAGGAACCAACCATGGTACAGCTTAAAACTAACACCTGAAGATGAACATTTGAGAACAGAATTTATAAAACAAAGAAAGCTTACGTTTGCAAATATCCAAACAGCTAAAAAACAATTTTATCATAAGGCTTTAACAGATTGTAAGAAATGTCCTTCAAAAATGTGGCAACTAATTAATAGACTGTCAAATAATAAATCAGATCTGGCAGACCTAAGGTATTTAAAAATAAATACCCCCTGGTCAAATCTCAAATACTAAAGAAATTTGTGAGTATTTTAACAGATTTTTTGTCACTATAGGCCCTGAACTTGCAAATAAAATACCGCAAAAATATCATAAAAAATTTACACAAACACTGTCTTACAATAAACCTAAAAACAACAACACTGATTTATCAAAATTAAACCCAACGACCACAGACGAGGTACTGAAAATAATAAAAGACTTAGATTCTAACGCTAGTTCCGGTTTAGATGGCATGAACACAAAATCCTTAAAGTGTATTAAAGACAATATGGTAGAAAACCTCGCTATTTGTGTTAATAAATGTTTAAGTGATGGCTATTTTCCAAATAGCCAAAAAACTGCAAAGTTAGTCCTATTTTTAAAGCCGGAAGCAAACAAGACCCAAACAATTGTCGACCAATATTGGTACTTCCAGTAATGTCGAAATTATTTGAAAAAATACTACATAAACGACTATATGACTATCTGACTTCTATTGATTACCTCTATAAAAAGCAATATGACTTCCGCCCAAAGTCTAACACTGTATCTGCAACTGTTGATTTATTAACCAACATAAGACTTAATATTGATCAGAAAAAATTACATTAGGTATTTTTATTGACCTAAAAAAGGCTTTTGACACAGTCAGCCATGACATTCTATTATTAAAACTAAAAGACATACGTATCACAGGAAAGGCATTTGACATTTTTAAATCGTATCTTTCTGATAGATTTCAAGTTGTCAAAATTAATAATCAGCAAAGTAGCCCACAACCGGTTATTTGTGGCATTCCACAGTGATCAATATTGGGACCCCTTTTGTTCCTTATTTATGTAAACAACATATATGAAATTGGACTAAAGGGAGATATCACTTTATACGCCGACGACACCAGCCTCTTCTACTTTCGTCACTTGTTAGAATCAGTACTAAGTGAAGCCCGGCAAGATTTACACATGTTACACATCTGGCTACAGTCAAACTTACTAACAATCAATGCCTCAAAAACAAAACACGTAACCTTCAGTGCAAAAAATAAAAAAAATGAAAGTCACAATCCTCTTACTATTGATGGTGAAATATTTAACCAAAGTTAACAACGAGAAATATTTAGGTCTTGTTCTTGACGGTCGACTTACCTTGAAACAACATATTGAGAAGATCGATAGTAAAATCTACTCATTAACAGGAGCTTCAAAAACTATAGTTCGATGTCTCTCGAGATATGTCAAATATACCATATATAACTCTTTAGTTAAGCCTCATTTAGATTATTTGATTGAGGTATGGGGCTCAGCTACTAAATCAACGTTGCAAAAACTACAAGTTACACAAAATAAAATCATAAAAATATTATTCCAATATAAATACTTAACCGATAAAACCCATGCCTACCCCCCCAAAAAAAAAAACCACCTACTACTCCAATATATAAAGAAACCAAATTACTTAATCTAGCCCAAACGTACAAATATAAAATTTGCATTTTTATTAGGAAAATACTTACTAATGCTACTCACTCTCAAATTACATTTAAGTACAAAAAAAATAGATTATCATAAACGTATGACAAGGCAGGCTAATAATCTATGTTTGAGATTATATAGAACAAACTATGGAAAAAGGAGTGTTCTTTATGAGGGAGCTCAACACTACAACAAATTACCTAAAAACATAAAAGAAACAAAATCCCTGTCCACTTTTAAGAAATTGCTAAAAAGCCATATTTTAAAGGATTTTTCGTAATAACTTAATAATCACAAAACTCTAATCTACATATATGAAGTACACATGCAACCTTAATAATAATATCTATAATAAAGTAGTTGTATAGAGATAATACAATATAATTACTTATACACAGTATGATTATAGATATGAGGCAAGATAACTTATGTATATACATATATTTGTGTATATATCTATATTGATATATGAGTACGTAAGTATGTGTGTATGTATGTATATATACGTTGCATTATGCGTATGTGCAACACTACTTATATTATTACAAACAAATTAATACCTAAATATATAATATACTAAATAAAGAAACACTACCTAATTATAGTATCGTATTACATATAGTAATGGTTTTAAAAGATGAACATAAACAATAACAGCTAACACTATAAATTAATTTTGAACACGATAGAATAGTTAATGTGTCTTAGGCCTTAACACATTACCACACCACAAACACATTCAATTTTGACCGAAGTAACGATGATCTGCTTAGCTTTGGTACGAATACTTTTGCAACTACCCTATTTACTTATGTGTAATATTTACTAATTAAATTATTAAGCACTCAATCAGAAAATAAGTTTTAGCGACCTATTATAATACTAGCTCACTACGCCAATCGGCTTAATGTTTTTTTTCTTTATAATATGTATTTTCTCTGTAAGTGATTTTTAAATCTTTTGAGAAAATAAATGTCTTAAACCATAAATAAAGCACAGAAGAAAAGTCTTACGCTCTTATGACAATGGGGGCACAGAATAAATAATAGTAATACGTACAGAAGTTTCAATCTTTTAATGTTGACTGCTTGCCGACATTTAATAGCCTACATGATTATTATTAATTAGATAAATCGCGCTCGCAAGCTAAATAAAACTTTATCGCTGCGCGAGAGTGTCCATATTACTTTGCACATTTTCCTCTTCCTACGTTACGGTGGACTTTCCGTTGTTATGGAGGGATCTCAATAAAGAGTAACGAAATACATTGCGAAATATTAATTAGGTTACTTAGGTGAAATACCTATTCTGACTATGATCGACAGACCATATTTTCGCACCTACGTGAGTTCTGCGATGCCTACCGCATGTAACTTGGAAGGCCATTCGTCGGGAATCGCGACGCTTGGCTTGGAAGGAACCTTATAGTATATACCTTATAGTGTAACACTTCCTCCTCCACTTTGTCCGGTCTTCGGCGTCCCTCGCAACTAGCCCTTTGGCGCGCATGTCATCCTGCACAACATCAAGCCAGCGTTTCTTGGGCGGTCCTCTACTCTTGGTACCAGGTAGGGTCATGTCCAGGCATTTGTTTCCCACTTAGCTTGCCGTTCGTCGTAAGACGTGGCCGTACCAGCGGAGGCGGCTTTCCTGGAGCTTGTCAGCAATGTCACGGACATGGAGGCTGCCGCGGATGTATGTATTCCGTACATGGTCTTTCCGCGCGACGCTGCACATCCACCGCAGCATGTTCATCTCCGTGACGTGCAACAACTGCCGGTGACGCTCCAGCACCGGCCACGCTTCACTGCCGTACGTAAGGACAGGTCTTATAGACCTGTCCCTTCAGCTTGACCGGCATTTTGGGGTCACAAATGACACCCGTCACCTCGCGCCGTTTCGGCCAGGCCGCTGATATACGGGCCTTGATGTCGCGATCGATGTCCCCGGACGCATCAAGCACAGATCCGAGGTACCTGAAGTTGTCCGTGCGCTCGACGGTGTCGTCGCCTATACGGAGAGACGTCAGATCTGTGCTGTTGCAGGCTATATACTCCGTCTTCGCCACATTTAGCTTCAGCCCGCCGTTTTCAAGCGCCTCCCTCTGCGTTTCTTCGGCCGTAACCATAGCCGCCGTGGACACGTTCATACTCCCCCTGCACCTCGCCCACATGACCGTTCAGGTCGCCACCCAACACGACATCGTGGAACAACGGTATGCCGCGTCTCCGACCCGATCTCAAAACAGCGACTTATCCGCGTCGCTGCAGCCGACCTGTGGGGCGTAGGCACTTATTAAGTGGGTCACGACCCCCTCAACAAGCAACCTTACTACCATAAGTCGGTCGCATATGCATCTAACTTGCAAGACGCTATCGTGGAAATGCTCAGCGAGCACAACTGCCACACCGTTCTCCCCACCAGAAGAGCCTGTATAGATGAGCTTGTAGCCGTGCCCAATATTCCGGCTCCTGTTGGCCTTCCACCGTGTCTCCTGCAGGAACGCCACTGCCACTTTACGCCTGGCAAGTGTGGCCGCAAGTTCTGTGGAGCGTCCCCTAAGCGTGCTAATGTTCCAGTTTGCAAAGCGAATCATCGTAGTTGGTGCTAACGTCTTTAGCCGGGCTCGCACGGGACCCGGTAGCCCTCGCATACTTGTCGTAGGGTTAAGGCGATCCCCATGCGCGTCGTTATGCGGCAACGCCCTAGTCCTAAACGTATATCTCTTTCTTTTACTTTCCATTTTTGAGTGGCTTAGTGCCAATTACCGGGGCGACTGCCGTCTGACACCCGAATCCCTAGGACGAATCCCAGAGGAGTGACATCGCCAGAGCCCTTTCCGTTGTTCAGCAGGTGCGCCACGTGCAGGCGGGGTTGGCTTGGGCTTCAAGATCTTAGCGGAGCCCCTTACACCCAAAAAGTTTTGATTTCAGTGTTTTGTGTTATTTTAGCTTAAATATTTTAAGCTAAAATAACAGCTTAAAATATTTTAATACAAAAGGCAAGTATATGTACGTAAGAAGATACTTGGATAGTGAAGTAAATTTCCACTAAATTTTGTAATAAAGTTCGTAGATATTAAATAAATTATTACTTAATTATTTTTTTGCTATAAGTACCTACCTAACAATAAAAATTAAATAAATTTACGTTTCATAACTTCCAACTAAAATCCTTTGGTAATAAAGAAAGATATATCTGAAATATTTTGTTGGTCATTTAGCGTCTATCCACGTAATAATTATAGTAGGAAGGACGTTTTGCCATATTAAAATTTATTAAATAATGGGTAATATACATAATATATAGTTCTTAAATTACATTAAAGCTTTTGAACTATGTTACCCTATAATTAAATATACTAAACACTAAACAAAAACTATTTCAACAATGTTTACAAAAAGTTATATACGTAAACAGCGTTAAAAAAATTTTAACATTCAATCGCCCCCAACGCGCTAGCCCTGACTGCGTTATTTCGCCGGGCGCGTCGCGATTTTAGGTAATTATTTCACGTAGGTAGCAAAAGTGATAGAGGCGTGATGGGGGTTTGATATGATACTGATGCTACCAGATGATTTTGAGATTGAGAAAGAAAATCGCACAACACAAAATGAGACAACCTTAAGAAAAAAATAAACGTTTATTATTTGTAATTTTATATTATTGATGTGTATTGAAGTTGACGTCTGGCACTAGCGCCATCTAGTGTCCGGTAACAGAGCGCGGAGAGCTTTCCAGAAAATGACATGAATAATCTTTTAACCAACAGCGCCATCTATTATCGAATTGAAGAACTAAGCTTTCTAGAAGCCTCACACTCGAAATTTCGGCGTCTGGTCGGTTGGCGCGCGTATTTACTTGAATATTCTGGATGTTTCGGGGTGAAAAAGGTGTATTTAAAGGCTCTGCAATACTCGATCGGGGCAGTATTGAATTTGGCGAGACAAGCGAAGCTTCGGAGCGAAATAAAGTGAATCAGTGTGGTTAATTATTAGTGTTTTAAGTTTTAATTGGTGTTCGGTAATAAAAGTGTAAATTTTGGTAATTCAATCGGCAGTTTTTATTGTCACGAACCCTAAGATCGTAACAATTGGTGTCAGAAGTGGGATCAAATCATGCCGATTTTACCTAAGGAGGAAACGGAGGGTGTCCGTACCCGAAGTCAACGCCAGCAGGAGACGGATCAAAGAAGATTTGGTGGTGCAACGCCGCAGACGTGGGAGGGCCAGCCGCCGGGTGCAAGCCCGTCAGTAGCTCCTACATCTGCAGCACCTGAATTAGGTGCTCTGATGGTGATGCTGCAGGAGCAGGCTCGCCGACAGGAGGAACAGGTCCGTCAGTTGAAAGAGCAGCTGTGGGGTGGACAAGAGGAACAGGTCCGTCGTTTGGAAGAGCAGCTGCGGGAGCGGACAGGAAGGTCCGATGGTTGAAAGAACAGCAGGAGGAACAGGCCCGCCGACAGGAGGAACAGGCCCGTCGGTTGGAAGAGTAGCTCAAACGTGATAAGGAAGAGCAGATGCTCCTCATGAAGGACATTCACGCTACCTTCGGGAAATAGATAAGGGAGGTGAAGGATAAGGTTGCTCAACCACAACTTAAGGTTGACAACCGCCTGTCGGAAGCTGAAATACAAATCAAGGAAGCTAAAACCCAAATCAACCAGGTGAACAATCGGGTAGACAACGTGGTGGCTGATGTGAAGAAAACGCTGGACGACCTCAAACTGGGGGATGGAACTACAGTTCCCGTAGTAGCTACAACACCTTCAATACGCGGATTCAAAGTGCCGCCTTTCGACAGGACTTCTTCCTGGGCGGCCTACAAAATCCAGTTCGAGGCTGTTATGAAGGCAAACGGCTGGAATAAAAGTCAGGCCATGACTGCTCTCACACTAGGCCTGCGCGACCAGGCCTTAACTGTTCTAGAAGCTCTCGGTAAAGAAGTGACTTACGAGCAGCTCCTTGAGGCATTGAAGGCTAGATATGGCGACGCTCACCTGGAACACTTCTTTCTTTCGAGCGCAGCTTAGAGATCGCGTGCAACGCAGCAACGAAAACCTGCAGCAGTGGGCTCTAGAGGTGGAGAAGCTGGTGCGAAAAGCATATACCAGTCTGTACCTGCGCTCATTGAAGGGAACCTGGTGCAGACATTCATCGACGGCATCCGCGACCTTGAAGTCAGAGCTGCTGTGAGGCTCGGGCACTACGAGATACTTAAGGATGCCTTGGCCCATGCACTGGAGGTGGAAGCCGTGCGGCAGGATCGTCATTCCCATCGCTTCAGGGAGGTTCCAATAGCTACAGTTCGCGACCGCAATAATGGATACAGCCCTAGGTGCTATGACTGTGGGGAAAGGGGCCATCTTCGATCCAGCTGCCCTAAGCGAACCGTAGAAAGGGAAGTTGATCGATCTCGAGAGGGTAGTGCAGCTAAAGGCACCGCCTGGCGGCGGCAGGATCATCGTTCCCCTCACGCTAGGGAGGATGCAGCAGTTACGGTTCGCAACCACAATAAAGGATACAGCCCTAGGTGCTGTGGCTGTGGGGAAAGGGGCCATCTTCGATCCAGCTACCCCAAGCGAACCCTAGAAAGGGGGAACGATCTTAGAAGGGAAGTGCGGCTAACATCACCGCCCAGCAGCAGCAGGAATACGACTTTACTACCAGACATCGCGGCAGGAAATCTCATGGCAACGCAGATGCATTGTCAAGAAGACCTTATCCTGAAGATTGCAAACATTGTGCTAGGCAAGAGAGTAAGGAAGTAGTATCCGTGAGGATGCTCAGGACAGACCACCTCATACGACATGCACAGCAGGAAGATCCGGACATCAAGCTGATTCTGAAGGCCCGTGCTACCAAGCCTAAATGGAGCGACGTCTCACCGATGAGTTCGACCACTAGAAGCTATTGGGCCCAATGGGACAGCTTGCTGATTCAGGATGGAGTCCTGTGCCGTAAATGGGACAATGGTCGAGGAGACAGCTGTCGTTTGCAAATGGTTGTCCCTAAAGCTAAAGTGCCGAATGTTCTACAGCTGTACCATAATGGTTGTTCAGGAGTCCATCTGGGAGTTAAACGAACTATACTGAATATCCGAGAATAGTTTTACTGGGTTCATTATCGTGACGATGTCGAGGATTGGTGTCGCACATGTACAAGTTGTGCGGCTGTGAAGAGACCTCAGACTCGTAGTAGAGGAGCATCGAAATTGTACAATGTTGGTGCACCATGGGAGAGGACAGCCCTTGACGTTGCGGAGCCGTTTCGAAAAGATGCAAGAGGTACTCCTAAGATCGTCCATGTAGATCGCCTGGCGCGTTATTATGGGGCCGATAATGCTCGGGACGAGCATGTCTTAGGAGGGGGCAGTGTTGCGCGCCTAAGTTGACGTCTGGCACTAGCGCCATCTAGTGTCGGGTAACAGAGCGAGGAGAGCTTTCCAGAAAATGACATGACTAATCTTTTAACCAACAGCGCCATCTAGTATCGAATTGAAGAACTAAGCTTTCTAGAAGCCTCACACTCGAACTTTCGGCGCCTGGTCGGTTGGCGCGCGTTTTTACTTGAATATTCTGGATGTTTCGGTGAGAAAGGTGTATTTAAAGGCTCTGCAAAACGCGATCGGGGCAGTATTGAATTTGGCGAGACAAGCGAAGCTTCGGAGCGAAATAAAGTGAATCAGTGTGGTTAAATATTGGTGTTTTAAGTTTTATTTGGTGTTCGGTAATAAAAGTGTAAATTTTGGTAATTCAATCGGCTGTTTTTGTTGTCACGAACCCTAAGCTCGTAACATTATTAAAATAAAAAAAATCATCATCGACGCTTTCCAAAATGCGAATGAGTTCTGAGAAATCGTTCATGTTGCACTGCACTACTTTTTTCGCTATTCGTTTATTGCCCCATTTACATTCAGCCTTGTTGGGCAGGGAAGTGTGCAGGGCAGTATGTAAAACAGGCTACTCGCGCTGTCACTGCCCAACGCCCCCTCGATTGTCGGTTTTTCGCGCGGAAGTCAAAGGACGGGCAGCGCGAGTGGCAGTGAGTGTTCACATTCTGCTCACTTGCCGCCGAAGTTCGACCGAGAAAGAACGTGCTACGTTTAAAAACGTCAATTCGTTTATTAATCTGTCCAGTGTTTTAATGATATTTAGTAATGATAAAACAATAAAGTTTTTGGAATCGTATGAAATGCAGCGGTTAAATAAAATCCTCATGATAAAAACCATAAATTGCACGTATTAGCTTATGTTATACTGAACAGACATAATGCTGTCACTCCAACAAATTCGACGTCAGTCATTGTTGAGAGTAAATCAATAAAAAAGTATGAAGGCTGAGTGTGAACACTCACTCGCGTCGTTATTGTCGCGGAAGTATTTAAGGAAATATTTCCGGCAGCGACAGGAGCAGTAGCAGTAGCTGAGTGTAAATGGGGCATATGACGTCATCAGGGTGTCATCTATCCTTGACCACGGCGCCCAATGAACTGATAATTGATGATGCGCTAAGGATGCGCCAGAGTAAAGTTGTTCAAAACGACTATAAATCAATAGTACGCTACAGACTATAAACTAGAAATTTCTAACGCGCTATTAAATACACTATTTTATAGCGCGCTATTTATAAAAAAGTGTGTAGGAGTCCGGCAAACGTGTTAAGTTTAGCAGCACGCTACATTACATATCGTTCATTGGATAGACCGCGTGCTATATAAGAACATTGTTTCGTAATAAGTCGCATTTTAGATTAAAATAAAATAAAGTGGTAAAGAAAAATTAAAGAACGCTCTTCATACTTTTCAGACGTTTTATAATCTTAAAAATATTTTTAAGGACTGTACTTTTTTAAAACGAAATAAAATTAATCATTTTTTATTATAATTGATGTAAACGTTAACCTTACTACTTATAAATTATAAATCAAAGGTGTATTTAAAAGTTTATTAATTGTATATACAAAAATCAACTATTTACAAACACTATTATATATACTTTTGTATCTATATTTTATTTACATTTAAAAACATTAGTTAAGTTTTTTTTGTAGCGGACAACTGTGTCCTTCGATCATTTATAAACATATAGCACTAACTAAATAACGTCTAACACTAAATTAGTTCGCGCGCGATGAATAACGTGCTGCTAGATTAAATTTGCGTCACATGTCTACTCCCAACAGCGCCGCTAGAGCAACTAATTGCCGCTTGATATGAATAGCACCAAAGCGTCATAGCGTTATAGCGCCACGGCGACTACTTACACAGCACGCGCTATGTGTTATGAAGAGATAGCGCGCTATAATATGGCGCTATGCGCTATATTAACCACCATTACGCCAGAGTCAAAGAATATATACACTACGCGAAAAGAAACGACACTTAAGCATGTGTGCATGTAAAATCGCTTGCGGCTATGTGTGGGTGTCTGGATGTGCACGGGGGCCTTGAGAGGCGCGCGGGTAAACAATTAACTGTATAGTTTATGCTGAGTTTGATAATATTACTGAGATAGATAAAAACAGAAATGTTACTAGAGACTATAGTAGTTAAGGTTATAATATGTGTTGTATGTTAGATTTTATGAGTTTGTATGTAACTATGTGAAACGTTATAAAATTAAATAAAACAAATTGTATGCAATATATTATTTTTTATTTCTTTATAAATTTTTTATTTAATCTAATACAACACACTGTTCGAGTTTAAAGTTACATCGGACTCTCTCATTAGATCATCAATAATAACGAGATGTGGGTTTTCACCATCAAACATATTAAGATTTGGAATTCCTTGATGATAGTTAACATTTGGTAAATTATATAAAGGTTGCATTTCATCAAAGCACCATGTGATCTGATTAAAATCACAATTACATATTTCTGTAACTGATTTTATGAAATTTGTTACAAAATTTGACTTCCCACATCCACTTGGTCCTGCCACAATAGCCGTAAACAAATGTATAAAGTGAAACATTACACACGTCTAAAGTTCTAAGGGGTGAAATAAAAAATGAAAGTGTTGGTGTAAACAATTAATATATATTGTGTACTATAACTAATGTTTTTGGGAAATCAAAAAAATTTATGATTAATTTAAAATTTTATTTTCCAGCAATAACCACTTGTAAAAAACCCACACTTCGTCACAAGAACAATGTACTTAAAATTGCAATTAACAATTTAATTGGTGCCGGCGGGGATCGAACCCGGGTCGCGTACTGTGAAATTTACAGCTTGCGCTAACCATCTGAGCTACCACGGCTTAATCATACACACACACACACACACACACACACACAATATTTAAATATAATTTGTTAACACTAAATCATACACACGTAAGAAAATAACAGAAAGAAAAGTAAGTTTGTCAATAGAATAAACACTTACATCCATGGCCTTTGATGCGTTGAAGTAACACAAATGTAGTATTGATAGATCCAATGCGGTCAAACGACCATACACTAACTCCATGACTGCAGTTGCTTGGTCTTATATAGTACCAGTAAGTAATAATTCTAATCTAAAGAATTTCTGCAGTGGAATTGATAGTAACTTTATGCGTCAACAAGTTTATCTCACATTCTGTTGCTTATCACAGCATTACTTCGTGTTGCGTCTTGTTCAGTGTATTGATGACTCAAATACGTTTTGTATAACACAAAATAATGCAATTTAATATTTAGAAATCACTATAATTGATCATTCCTATGTTAGTCATTGAGTAGGTTGTACTGTAATAATATACTAATAGCAGTAATATCATGGATACACTAGATGTACAACAACATCTGAAAAAGATTCACCCCAGTCTAGAAAATAATGTTTATGCTGCCAATAGACTGCGCATGTACACCCACGTGCCAACGTATATAATATGCAATTTGGATACAAATGATAAACCAGGGTCACATTGGGTAGCTTTATATATCGATACGAATGACGTCGGTCAATATTTTGATTCATACGGACGAGCACCTGTACGATATCATCTAGAGTTTTTAAAAAGGAATTGTAAAAGATGGAACTGGAATGTTGATAGGATTCAGAATGAGTGGACGTCAGTTTGTGGCGAATATTGCTTAATGTATTTGTTATATATAAGTTTCAGGGATGTTCAATGCATAGTTTTACGAGTATATTTACAAGGAACACATTGTACAACGATATTTTAGTGGATGAGATGTTTCGCTCCTATTTTATGGATAATAAGTAATAAGATTTTGTAATTCGTAAATAAAAATTGTAACAAAATTAGGTAATGTATTTTATTGATGATTCAGATTACCGTTGCAGTTAGAAACAAAGGAGTATAATATAATAGCACTGATAATCCGACGCACGAATAGATAATGACGGTATTCAATGAACAATAGATAAGAACAATGGAGCGCTAATGACGGTGGAGGCCCTCACCGGATATCAATTAGATAAGAGTTAATTGATCTGCACATCTCCGGAACCGTGCATCCTACGCAAAAATTCGTGATCAGAGCATGCCAAAACCTTTTTTTTTATTAGGATCCTGAGTCGACGAACGTTGTACTTGTACCACTTCTGACTCAGTGAGCCAGAACTGGTACTAACTAACTACTTTTCTTCCAGTATAGTATCATTACAGCACCACAATGAACGCGCAACGACGTCTGCAAATACGCTCTATTCTACGCAAAATACTAACTGTAGTTATGGAACAAATAGAAGACGAGATTTTATTCGAAATAAATAAACAGAAACGAATATGGGAGCGTCAATGGATTAGTCGCAGATCCATGCTTAGAGGAAGTTCTTTGTTGCTAAAAGAACTGGCTATTGAAGATCTTAAAGAATATCGCGATTCGATGCGAATGACAGAAGAATCCTTTAATTGGTTACAAAACAAAGGCCTGCTATAGAAAAAAAATGATACTCACATGAGGAGTGCAATACCGGTCAAAATAAAACTCCAAGCAATTATTTATATGCTTGCAACAGGAAATAATTTGAGGAGCCTATCTCATTCTTTCAGAATATCTAAATCTAGCCTTTCGTTAAGGATTCCTGTAATTTGTGATGCCATCTACAATGCTTTGGAGGAATTTATACAGGTGAGCAAATAAAACATTCTGTAGTTATATTAAATCACATAACTTTAATACTTGAAACTGGGTAATTTTGTCACATAACTTTATAAAACTTTAATAATAAATATCTTTGAAACAATGAAATATTCCTATGTAGACGTTGCACAAAATTACATTGATTAGTAACTTTGTTCGATGTCTACATAGGAATATTTGCCATAGTCTGTGATAAGATATCATTATATTGTTGAGCTGCAGTTTGTTGGTCACTTAAATCAAAAAAATCACCCCTATTAAGATTTATTGCAGCTTCGTGGCTGAAATGTGCTGTATCAGATGAAATATTAGAAGTATGTCACAATAAACTCAGAGTGAGGTATTTCAGACATAGATGATTGTCCACTATCTGTAGGAGCTTCTTGAGTAGACGTTTGCTCATAAGTGGTTTGTGTAGGCACATAACTCGGAGATGGTGTAGACAGATAACTCGGAGATGGTGTACGCACATAACTCGGAGATGGTGTAGGCACATAACTCGGAGATGGTGTAGGCACATAACTCGGAGATGGTGTAGGAATAACAAAAGTGCGATTGCAGGTTTTTAATTCCTGCAATCGCACTTTTGTAAGATAGATTTGTATCACGCTTTGCGCCCGCAAAGCATTTTCTAAACTCATGAAATTTAGTTGGACGCCAACACTTTTGCCAAACAATTAGAATTCGTTTGTGCCTTCTTTTTCGATCATTGATTCTGTGTTGAGCTCGCTTACCACTACTTTTGCTTTGTCTAGAAGTGAATTCAGACCTCTCATATTTCTTTTTCTTGAAGGGCGGGTTAGATCAGAAACTGGCCTATCATCAATACTAACTAGCTCAGAATTTCGACCATCTTGATTCTCCTCCATGTCTTCTTTATCCTCAATGGTATTCTGAAATAAAAATAATAGACTTGTCAGTGAAATATTTTCGGCAGCTAGTTGAAATCATAAAAATATTCTTTTTTTCTTTCAGGTACCAAGAAACTCTGAAGAGTGGGAGGCATTTAGAAAATCTTGGAACTTTCCTGGGTGTTGTGGAGCAATTGACGGCAAGAATGTCGTCATTAAAGCTCCATTTGAAGCAGGAAGCTATTTCTATAATTACAAGCAACAGAATAGCCTTGTATTAATGGCGTTGGTAGATGATAACTATTGTTTTTCATATATCGATATCGGGTGCAATGGTAGAATATTCGATGGAGGAGTTTTCCGAAACTGCAACTTAAGAATATATTCATTACTAGCTGTGCCCGCGACTTCGTTCGCATGTAATCTTTTTTCTCCAATAATCTTTTATATTTTCAAACAGAGTATATATAATTATATGTTTATTATAATCAAGCAGATTATTTTATACCTACCTGAACGTTAGCTTCGTGAAAAAGGCTAAAATAGATCAAATTTTTTTACTTTTAATTTTGGATGACTTGATGGCAAGGATTAGCCATTTTATGATAATATCCACATTTTAAGAAAACCTAATGCCAGCTATCTACCACCTAATCCATTTCTGGTTTTCGAATAATAAAATCTTAATAAATACAAAACAAGGAGTCAAAAAGCGGATATATATATGCAATTTAATTTAATGGTTTTATTTATTTAATCACGGTTTTGTTAGAACTTCAAAAGTAAAAGAAAATGTAAAAAAAATATATTCAGTTAACAAAGGACCTCTTCATAAACAACGTTCACCGTTTTGTTTTGTGGTGCTAAAATAAACAAATTAGTGGGATCGCTGATACGCGACATTGCCACATAGAGCTGCCCATGTGAAAAGCAGCTGTTCGTAAGGTCAACGCCTACTCTGCTTAGCGTTTGACCCTGTGCCTTATTTATCGTCATTGCAAAGCAAACACTCACCGGCAGTTGGACCCGTTTAAAACGAAACGGAAAGTTATTCGGAATAATCGGTATTCGTGGAATAAAAACTTTCTCACCCGCACCGCAACCGGTAAGTATCTCTGCCTCAACCACATGTCTCTGGAGAGCAACTACTTTGAGCCGAGTACCATTGCATAATTTTGGTGGACTTAAATTTCTTAAAAGAATTATGGGGATCCCTACCTTAAGTTTAATTTCATGTGCAGGGAGCCCAGACGCCGTTAATGCATTCAAAAACTCTACAGGATATGCTGTTACTTCTTCACGGTCAACTACTCTATTTATTGACGTATAGGTAACATTCTCCCCTTCAATACGTTCTAAAATGGTCATGTTGATACTTACAGCTTGATCATTACGAGGCGTAAGTATAGCGCGCTCACAAAGCCAAGAGTTTCCTTGGTTTACTATACCAGCCAGATCTTCATAAACAGATATAATAAGTTCCTCAATGTTAAGGACTGTTTTGCACAAATTATTAATTAAATCTATTCTACCATCAACCTCAGGAAACCTACCTTCACCAATACTCAATAATAACTGTGAGAAATCTTGAGCATTTGTGTTCTCGCCTTTTTGCGCTCGCATGTTTGTGGTGAGATTTAACCTTGTAATATGGGGCCAAAGAATTGAATTTTTTAAACATGCGCTAATTTCATCGGCTCTTGTCCCGCGTGTAACTATTGGCAATGTCTGCCGAAAATCTCCACAGAAGAGCATAGTGACTCCGCCCATAAGTTCATTGTTGTGTCGTATATCTTGCAGCGTTCTATTGACGGCTTCTACTGCTTTGCGATGCGCCATTGTACATTCATCCCATACAATTAAGGTGCACTCACGAAGTACTCGAGCTATGTCACTATTACGTGAAATGTCGCAAACGGGGGTTTCAGTGACGTCTAATTGTGTGGGTATTTTGAACATGGAATGTGCAGTTTTGCCTCCTGGAAGTAAGGTAGCTGCAATTCCGGACGATGCCACGGCCAATGCAATTTTTCCCTGGCTACGTATTTGCGCAAGGATAAGTTTCGTAAGAAATGTTTTACCAGTACCGCCAGGGGCATCCAAAAAAAACATTTCACCAGAGGTGTTCAAAGCGCTGTTACATATACGATCAAAAATAATTCTTTGTTCGGGGGTCATGATAGGTACACCTACTTGAAGAATTTGGGCCAGTTCCTCTGAGTCGTAATTGGATTCCGTTGCATACTCTCGATTAGTTTGTTCGACATTTAAGATTGGTTCAGGTAATCCATAGCGTATTAAGGGATTACCACCAATTGAAAAAACTGTGTTTTGTATATCACACAAACAACGATTCAATACATCATTGAGCATCTCTTGATTTAGTTCACCATGTTCAAAATTAATGTAATCTTCAGCTAAACTTTTCTGGTGTTTAACCCGAAGTTGATTAGCATCTGAAAGGCCACAAAATACTAACAACACCGCAAATAAATTCCGTAAACGACGCGGGCTATCACTAACAGATGCTTCAGCGAGGGTGTTGTCCCAGTGCTGGTCGTCGTCCAATAACCCTCGAGCCCGGCAAGCATCTTGAAAAGAAGGATATTGAGTGTTGTTGAACATTTTCAAAGCCAAAAATAATGTGGGTCCTCGTACTGTATGCAAAAGTAAACGTACGTAAAAACATTCGGAGTTATTGGGATGTACAGTGTACACTCTGCCGAGCACATGTTCTTTAAAAAGGTTGGGAAAACCTTCAACAGGAATACCACGTCGGCGACGATTAAAAATCCTGTGTTGCTTATCGTATGTATAATACGCTGGAACTTCGTCATAAAGCAAAGTTCTTGCGAAATCGTCAGATTCGCATAATCGAAAGAACGCCAGTAAAGTTGTTTGTCTAGGATTTTCTAGTTGCTCCACAATATTGTCTGGGTGAAAATATACGCGTTGTCCGCCTTCCACGTGAACGTCTAAATGCATTACCGGGGGATTACGCTCGCTTATTGGGAAACTGAATATTCGCCATGCTGCCTCCGAAGAACTTATGTATCGCCCTGATTGAAATCTTGTAATTTCGTCAAATCTGTCGTTGCTCATTGCAAGTGTTGCTTGATCCGTCCCTTTATTTACATACTTAAAAATGTATTTAATTGATTCAACACTGTTACACATTTCTACGTTTATATGGGTTTGGAAAGTTCTCGATAGCACAGGTGAGTACGGCACTACCCACCTGTTATCTACTTCTACATCTTGTCCAAACATTCTCAATTTTGTGGTGAATCCTCCATACTGTGGAGCACGCCGCCGATATTTGGGATAACCATCTTCACCAGTGATTGTTTCTCTTAAAAGGGGTCTTGGATATTTTTTCGTACATTGTCCATCCTTCATGCACGGAGAATTATTATTTAATGCACCGCAAGGCCCGTGTATCATCTGTGTTTTAACAATTTGGTGTAAAATAGGATCATTTGTGGGATTTGGTAATTCTGCACTTATTATATTATCAACGTCATTAGGACGAATTTTTTGTAATAACCATAGAAGAATGTGAGCGTGGGGCAGCCCTCTTTTTTGCCATTCCACGTTGTATGTATAGCATGACGTAGCGCCAAAAACGTTTTGCTTGGTTAATAAGTTGATTAACAACTTTAACTTTAAATAAAAAACTCGACTAATTAAATCGTGTCGATCGTACGATGCTTGACCTTCTAGCAGCTCTTGAGAAATCTCGATCCATTTAGGGTTAGTAGTTATTGTTATGAAAAGATCTGGCCTACCATACTTGCGAACATAACAGAATGAGTCTTGAACGCGTTCATTCATATTTCGGGGACTCCCGATAAAGCTGGAAGGCAATATAACTAAACGTCCTAAATTTTCTATGTGTGTATCTCCCTGTACTGCATCATGAAGATCCACATAATTTTCGGCACGCAACTGTCTCTGATGAGTACGAATGAATACTAAACGCTGTGTTTCAACTTTTGCGTACATATCAACAATAAACTGGTTAAATAAGCCACGAAATCGTTGTAAATATATAAAACGACGTTGTCTTATTTGCATGAGATAACAATAAAATTGCAGAGCCGAAACTTTTCTGTCTAACCGAGGTGCTCCTGTAGCGGGGTCAACTTGATAAACCGTAAAGTTGTAACCATCTTCACCGCGACAGTAAATAAGTGGGTATTGTAAGGAGTCGTAAGAACGATGAGTCTCACTAATTCGTTGCAGGCGGTCATCACGCGTGCGTACTATAATGTCGCGCTTGTCGCATTGCTGATCCACCAGGACAACTGCCACTTCATTGGTGGATGGAGAATTATAACGGCCGGAATGTTGCACTAAAGGTCGCTTATCCGCGCTAATAACAAACTTATAATTATTGTATTCATCTTGAGGGATCGACTCTAGTACAGCTTTGAAATTGGATACATAAGGGTTGACCTGATGAAGCATGCCCTGAAGCTCTGAGATAACATTAGCGTTTAAATTTGGGAAATTCTGCCTCCTTATATTGGCTTGTTCATGGTAATCAGAAACGAAATATATTTGTAAAAACTTTGGTTCTGTCTCAGGCAAAAGCGAACCAATTAAGTGGTAGACTTGCCCCTGCACTTTAAAAGTAGGCATAAATGTTCCATGTACCACTTGCTTGGCCCCGAAAGAAGTCATCTGGAATGCCCCATTGTATGTATGAACGGATATTGTCTAAAAACTGCTTGGAATGTGGATGGTCCCCATTAAGTAGCGATTTAAGAGGTTCTGGGGGCTCTTGAAATATTTCCAATTGTACCTTGCCAGCTGAACAGCAAAACCCGTTTGATTCTTTAGACCACTTAAGTGATTGACAATGACTACAAGTGCGAATCATTCTTCCGATCTCGGCAAATTCACTATAGTCAATATTAAAAGTGTAGGTAAAACCACTATTTTCTTTATCAACCCAAGGGAGATCAGTGTAGTTCTCTCTGTCCATAGATGGCGGAGTAAAGGTGGGTGAACGATTTATAAAAGTACGAATACGATCAGCTTGTAACCGAATTGCACGTTCACTCTCTGTCTCGTTACTCCTAATTGCTTGCACTCTTTCCCTTTGTAAAGACAAAAGTTCGTTACGGTGTTGAAGCGAATTTTCATAATATCCCCTTGCCAATTCTAAGCGTAAGTCATGCTCCTGCTGGGTTTCATGTGTCCTACTTACCGAACGGCTCTCCCTATCTGCTGCTAACCTCGCTTCATATTGAGTAAATGATTCCGAAGCACGTGATCTTGCATGACGTTCCCGGTCTGCAGTCAAGCGTTCCGAATATTGAGTTAGCGTTTCTGAAGCGCGAGACTCAGCATGACTTTCACGGTCTGCAGTCAACCGTTCTGAACACTCCGTAAATGTTTCCGAAGCGCGAGACTCGACATGACGCTCACGATCTGCAGTCAAGCGTTCCGAATATTGAGTAAACGTTTCTGAAGCGCGAGACTCAGCATGACGCTCACGGTCTGCAGTCAAGCGTTCCGAATAATGAGTAAACGTTTCTGAAGCGCGAGACTCAGCATGACGTTCACGGTCTGCAGTCAACCGTTCTGAACACTCCGTAATTGTTTCCGAAGCGCGAAACTCAGCATGACGCTCACGGTCTGCTGTCAAGCGGTCTGAATATTGCGTAAACGTTTCTGAAGCGCGACTTTCAGCATGACGTTCACGGTCTGCAGTCAACCTTTCTGAATGCTCCGTAAACGTCTCTAAAGCTCGAGACTCGATATGACGTTCACGGTCTACTTTTAAACGCTGAGAGTAATTTGTTAATGTTTCCGAAGCGCGAGACAACGCGTGACGTTCGCGATCTGTAGCTAAGCGCGTTTCATTATTAAAACTGGACTCTGATGCCCGAGATTCCGCAGTTTGTTCTCTATTGTAAGCTAAACGGTGCTCACGGTCCTCATTTGTCTCTTGCGATCGAACTTGTCTCATCCTTTTAGCCCTTCTAGTGTATTGAGAAAGACTACTTTTCTTTTTTTTGCGGCATTATTTAAAATTTATTCAACAACCAAAACACAAAATAAAATCCTTATCCGAAAATGTAATCACGTATGTAACAGTTTAGTGATCACTTAACCTTAGACTACAATAATAATATTATTTAATTCAATTTAATTTAATTTAAATTTAATATATTATTACAGTCTAAAAAAATCCAAACAACTAATTCCGTATCGTAAGACAAAATATCAGAAATCCGTAATATGATGTCATGAAAGGTAAAAAGAATAGAAAACTTAGCACACAGTATTATAGTATTATCACAAATATAACAACTTTTACAAATTATCATATTGAGTAGATATAAAATAATGTGTCATTAAGAAAACTCACGAAAAATCTTACCTACGCGAGGTAGATGTTCAGCAATGACATCTAACGGAACGTAACGGAAAATAGTGAAATAAAACAATTATCATTGTACCAATATATATTTCATAAAAAAAAATAGTTATATTCCTATTATAGGATAGAAAAGGACCTAACTAAAAATTATAATTGTTTATTATGTATTTATACAAATAATATATACAATTTAAATAATATATACAATTTAAATAGTCGCCGTGAAGTGACGTAGTTAGAGAACCATACTGTTTAATGAGGGCTAATAATTTTCTGCTCACCAGATGTCGCTAGTTGACACTGAGATAAAGTTTTTTGTTACACAATGTCATTTAATGGAGAAGTAAGTTTTTAATAAAAGTTTATCAGTTTCTAGAGTATTATACTAATACACAAAACAATGAGTCAGTGGTTTGCTGTTTAATTTTTTGCACATTTTTAACTTTTTAAAATTTTTCTACTTTCATGAATATTATGTATTTTTAATTTTAAAAATATAAAATATAGCAACAGTGCAGAAAGAAACATTAACCTTTACATTTTTCGAACAAATTAACTTCCCCGCCCTGATATCTGTCAAATATTATACCTCACTTCACCTTCACAAGTGGCGCCACACTGGTGGCAGAAAAAGGTGTGGATGCCGTCATTGTAACTTACTTTTTCTTAAATGGCGCTATTATGTATTTAAATTAAACTTGATTTTCATAACGATAGACAAAATTTAAAAGCAATACATACATATAAAAAGCTTCTATAAATGTTTATATTTTTTAATAAAACTTTAATATGTATAATAAATAATTTATTAGTGCCTGAAGGGAAAACGTAACACTTTTTGCATTTTAATAATAGATGGCACTGTCTTATAAACATACAACGTAGTCGGTGAAGTTTTAAACTAAGTTTCAACGGTTAACATAGTATATTAAGCTTCAGTTATAAATATACATCACAAATAAAACTTTAATATGTATAATAAATAATTTATTAGTGCCCGAAGGGAAAACGTAACACTTTTTGCATTTTAATAATAGATGGCACTGTCTTATAAACATACAACGTAGTCGGTGAAGTTTTAAACTAAGTTTCAACGGTTAACATAGTATATTAAGCTTCAGTTATAAATATACATTACAAATTAAGAACTTTATGTAATCTACCTTAAGACTAATGACATTTTATGCACTTATTATAAAATTATAAAATTAAATCCAAAGAAAGGTAAAAAAAACATAACCTTCTTTTTTTGATGCTCCGTAATCGGATAAAAAGTAGCCTATAAGTTGCCCCGGGTTCTTAACTACCCACTTACAAAATTTCATGTAAATCCGTCTTGTAGTTTATGAGTGAATCCGTAATACACAGACAGACAGACAGACAGACAGACAAAAATTCTAAAAACTACTAATTTGGTTTCAGTACCGCTTGTTTAGTCCCCTGGACTTGTTTTTTTCAAAAAATAATAGAATTACAGACACGACTTTTCTACAGATTTATTATATGTATAGATATTCGTCAAGTGATATTATAATATTTCAATGAATATAAGAATATTACTGATATCTTAATACGACGGTTATACATATTACTATTCCATCTATATCTATCTATGTATTTATATATATCTATAAAAAATTATACATGCTATGAATTTTTGCAATTGTTAGAAATAATAATGAAAATTATAAAAGTAATCGAAAAATTCAATATATATATATGAGTAAATTAATTTTTAAAGGATAGTAGGTAATACTGATTATTGCGTATTGAAATACTAAGTGTTGGTTAATTATTTAAGATTACCATTAACTGTCGTGCATATTTGGTTTTGTCGGAAGTTTTAATATTCCTCATTTGTAAAGATATTTCATAAAAGTTGATTTAAAATTGAACGTATCTTTCACTACTCATATACATAAGTTTACATAATATATAACATATACTTACTGTGTATCTTCTTTGGTAAGTCTATAATATTCCATTTCGGTTCGATATCATTCCTAGCGTTACACGCTTCGACCAGTGGCGTAGCGTGCCTTAGATCAAAATTTGTTGGGGGGCCCAACGAAAGGCTCGAAACCGCTCGCATTGAATTGAAAAAAATTATATATTGATTATAGGTTAATATTTACTATCAACACTACTAGGAACTAAGCTGGCCAAACAATTCAAATCTAATATAAGCTTTTCTTGTCCAGTTCGGCGAACTTAATAGGTCGCGGAAAAACTTTCTTCGTATTTCATATACTTACACATTTTTTTTTCAAAGTTTCATTACATTTAAATATAACATTTAAACGAGTATGGGCCATTTTGTTCGATAACTTGTTGCCATCTTGTAGGTAGATGACATAATCCCGTCGCTGTAGAAATTTTGGGATTTTGATCAAAAAATACGACAAGTAGTTTTGACAATCCTCTCTTGATATTACCTACTACTACCCAAAGAACCCCTAGAAACCCCTAACACTACCCAAAGAATTCTGAAGGACCGAAACAGATGAAAATCTGAAGGTGCACGGTCAAGACTCAAGACTATATGGTGGATGCATTAACACTTCCCAACCAAGCGTTCTCAATGGTTGCTGAGTGGCTAAAGATTGTGTGGTCTGGTGTTATCATGATGAAAGATCACTCCTTTTCTGGTGATTTATTCCGGCCGTTTTTTCTCGATTTCTTGCTTGAGTCTAACAAGTTGCTGGTAGTAGAGATCCAAATCAATGGTTTTGCCTAGCTATAAAATCTCGTAATAAACGATGCCCTTCTTATCCTACATGATCTTTTACGTACGATCTTGTCGCAGGTAATCCACTCACATCGTCAGTGATTAAGCTTTCCAAAAATGGTTTAGTTTTATTACTTTTCAGTAGAGAATCGCAAAATAGTACACGATTCCTTAGGTTTCCTTCAGTGAGCTCGTGTGATACCTAAATATCGAACTTTTTCGTACCTATAGCCAACTTTTCAAATGGCTCAAAACTGTTTTGTGGTCAGTCTTCAATTCTTCGGCTATGTTGTAAAGAACTACTCCTCCAATTTTTCAAACAAGGCATCGACTTTATTCGTATGAAGGTGACCAGAGCGAGCTGCATCCTTTTTTGTAATAAAACTTCAAAATGTGTCGAATTTCGTTGGATTCACTAATTTTGGGAGACAGAAAAACAATTAAATTAAAATTGAATTGAAATTTCAAATCGTGAAGCAAAAGGTTTGTCTTTTTAGTGGAAATTAAATTTAGTTGTTACAATGTTTTCATTATTAATATAAGTCATTAAAAAAATAATGTTTCCTTATAGCTGATAAGGCGTCGTTTCTTGAAGACCTAGGACACCTTTTTAAGGGTAATTTTATATTTTTAGATGAATCGTTAGTCGTTACTCAGAATTGACAAGCACTTTATACTACTGCTAAAAAAAAGTATATTTTTTGGGTTATTCCGTTTGTCAACCCTAAAAAATCCACCCTAGAGTGGATTCTCGCAAACGCGTGTTCATCTATCCATCCCAGACAGGGGTTGATAATCGGAGTTCACTTTTATTTTTTCTTCCGATTTTTTACCCCAAGTATAGTCTAATACATTGACTTATTCAACACTAGAGGAGAAAACCACATTACCGCGCGTCGAAAAAAGTGTAATCACTATCCAAATGCGACGACGTAGCTTTGAAACTAATAACAATTTTAAATAAACATATATTGGGGGACCCGTATCATTGATACGGCGGTAGCTACGCCCCTGGCTTCAACTCAAGGTCACCGGCGCTTAAGCTCTCACGTACAGAGAGTGTCACCCATAGATTACTGACTATTGTCACTGCTGTGCCAGAGTTGAGATATTAGATTTATTATGCGAAGTCGATTTGATGAAATTTTCTTTTATTTATGTACTTAGCTGATGATAGTTTTGTTTCTTACCTTTTGTTTTATTCAAATATCAATAATTATTTAAAAAACAACACGTTGGCGTTTAATTTTGAAGTTTTCAATAAATCTATGTCTACGCATTACAACACTAGCGGTCAAACATAGACGACTTTGGCGTGTTGGACATAGTATTTGCCGTAGACAGAGAAAGCTATAGACTAATGATCGGCGTGGCCTCGAGTGAGAAAGGACGATAACGAATTTTTAGGTTATACAATAATCTTTATGACTTTTAAACACATTTAGATAAAAATTTTAATTGTTCTAAGAACTGAACTGAACAAGATTCACCAATCTTAAGCTCTCAAAACACTTTTTTCTCACTTAAACCAACTTGTAAACTCCTTAAATCGCTACGCTGTTAAAGTTGTTTAGCAAACTGTAGAGTTTGCTAAACAAAAAAACCGGCACGGAGAAAGGGACAATCATACCGCTCCATCTCATTTCTATGCGACGTATGCATAAATCTTTTTCGTGTGCAAATGCGAAAGAAGGCGTCAATTTGTCTATAGGTTTCTGTCTACGGTATTTCATCATCATCATCATCATCATTACAGCCCTTCACAAGTCCACTGCTGAACATAGGCCTCCCCCAAGTAATGCCACAAAGCACGGTCCTGAGCCACCTGCATCCATCGACTTCCTGCATGTCTTACCAG